ATGAGCAGACTTGCATGGTTCTTGTACAAATGTAATCCTAAGTTTTAACTGAATTGAAAACGGCCAAAACCCTATTTTCGATAAAAATAGAGTTGTTTCGTTTTTTCCACAGACCCTTTTGATTACAATTTWAAAAATTTAAAATGACAAAAAATATTATGAAATTGTTAAATGCTTAAACAAAATCATGAAAATCATAATACTATTGTTGTTGTGTGTCACTGGGATTTTCACATATTTTATTTTTACAATTATTCGTAAATCGTACATAAATTAATTTAATAGGAATATTATAAAATAAAAATGTTACTAAATAATATTATAAATCGATGAATATTATATGTAAATTTATTATATGGTAAGTAAATTTTAACGTTTTAAAAATCGTTCAATTTCATTAAAAATATAAACATCGTTTATGTTCACGTTTTATTGATAAAAAAAAAAAGAGTGGTTAGGTTATAAATATGAACATGAACGTTCGTTACCAACAATCTTACCAAACACTGGTTAACTATCATTAAGTTATTAAGCRTATACACAGAATCRAAACTGCTGAAAACCAATTTGGTATGTTGTGTGTTTAATGTTTATAAGACAGAGTCAACGTATGCGGGGGTGTGACGTCCTGGTCATCGGTGCAACTAGAAATTTGAATAAGTGGGAGCTTAAGCTCCAGGTTTTTTTTGTGACTTAATGGTACCTAATTTTATAACAATTTTTTAGGGTGCTACGTTTGACTAAAGGGTTACCAAAGACCCAAAGCACCTCCCCCCCCTAGTGCGCCAATGGACCTGGTATTCCACTTCTCCTAACTACAAAGTCATAATTTGATACGTTCATCATCAATGGTATTATTGAAGGCAATGTGACTCTTCGACGTCATAACAATATTCAGTGAATTAAAAGACCTTGCGCGTCCCTTTGATTTCTTTCCAGTTACATTTTTTTCCTTCAAAGATTTTAGCCGTTGTGTCGGATGACGAGTCCGACTAACTTTTTTGTATATTTTATTGTACTTTATACGGGTTACGATGATTACACTGCAAGTGTGAATTGTCCGCACAGTACCTATATAAGTAAAAGGCTGGAGCGACATTGCGTCAATCAATTCCATCAGTTAAATATCGAAATTGTAACTTGTACCTAATTCAAGTGGAATTTATATAGGTACTCGGTACTCGGTATAATTATTCAACGATAATATTTAATTTAGGTAGGTACTCAATAGACGATGYCATCGACCATTGTATATCTAAACGATTCGATGCACGTCACGTACTCAGAAATTATAATTATCATTCATTAATTTTTCTTGAGAACTTGTCCCAAAAACACATAATTTAATTATCATTCATTAATTTTTCTTGAGAACTTGTCCCAAAAACACATAATTTAATTATCATTCATTAATTTTTCTTGAGAACTTGTCCCAAAAACACATAATTTAATTATCATTCATTAATTTTGATTAGAGTTTACACTGAACAAACATATTTTAATTTTAACATATATATTTTTAGTTTTGGGCAATATCAATAACTGACTAAACTTTGATTGGTGTCTTCATTATTTGTTTGAATGTTTGTATATTACAATAGAATATAAATAATTATTATAGACTCGTGGATCATACTGTTTCATGTTTGTACCTACTCGTCTACTAGTCAAATAATATCTACTGTGAAGTGTRGATTATTATGAATTAATTTATAATGAAGTAGACTGGCCTCGAAATCAACACCATCAGCGCTAGAACACCACAATGAAACCAATAAAAAACGTGGGGGAACTCATAAAACGAAACAAAACCACTATAGACATTACACATGCTATCTCAGTAGTATCCAATTCGGTGCGACCACATTTTGTAAAAATTACTTAACATTTTTAGACAATTTAAATGTATAACAAGTAATACGTAGTTAGTAAGTAACGTTGTTAACTGTTTTAAAATTAATTTCGTAATAATTCTAGGTGAGTAGAATATATAGGTACCTACATGATTTTGTATAAATTCGATTTTAGAAAATAATTTTATTTTAGAAAAATAAATTATTCTTAAAATGTCAAGAATAATAAGAGTAGTGAAGGAAACTTTTAGAAAATATCCAATGATAGCTAATTCAACAGTTTATGGCACAATGTGTGTTGGAGCGGAATTTTCACAACAAATATTGACTAAACGGATATTGGTAAAGTACTACCTATATTAATGCCATTTTGGCATTATATTTTATCTATATAAAACATTCAATATTTTAATTTTCATAGAATAAAACTGAACCACCAGAGCCGATTGATACAGATGTATTAGGACGATAYGCCATAGTGGGCACTTTAATTAGTCCAAACATTTTATACTTTTGGTAATATCTATAATACATTTTTCAAAACTATTGTGACAAAAATGTTATATATTTTATAATCAATAAAACAATGTTTTTAGGTATAAATGGCTGGACAAAGCATTTGTGGGTACTGCACCAAAAATTATTGTTAAAAAATTATTAATCGATCAATTTATCATGACTCCACCATTTTACGTAGTCTTTTTCGTTAGTAAGTTCATTTTGTAATCTCATATAAACATGCATCTAATTATTACTCTTATTATTRTGATAAAAATTGTTTATAGCTATGAGYCTATTAGAGGGRAAAAAAGATCTATTTGAAGAGTGCAAACAGAAGTTTATTCCTACATTCAAAACTAGTTGTGTGTTTTGGTTGCCAGCACAAGCTATTAATTTCATGTTGGTGCCGCCAGCTGCTCGTGTAATTTATGTTGGAATGTGTTCGTTTATATGGATTAATATGTTATGCTGGATCAAAAGAAATGATTACAATGCAGTTAAAGAAGAGTAATTAATTGAATTGCAMAAAATCTGATAACAAATATTAATCAACTTTCAGTTAGACTTTACTGTTATGTTCATTTTATTAGTCTTCAAGTTGTATTAGTGTAAGTCTGTTTTTATTGCTAAAAACAATAGGATTGATAAAATTATTAAAATTAGCCTTAAGAAACTAATTTATTTTCACAATATATTTTATAGTAACAATATGAAAAACATGAATAGGAAAATTGATTTTAAAGGCAGAGCTTATAGTTTAATCTTTGTYTTATTTGATATAAACTTAATTAAACTTGAGCAACTTTGTATATAAATTTGTGATTTTCCTATGGTTGATTTATCCTTTTCATCTTGCTGAATTGCTTTGACTAAATTTGATGCTGATTCTTCATCTAATACAATTAATGACATCATTGCAAAATCAAGCTGCATGTATCTAATTATATTAGTTAAGAAAAATGATTTTTCTGTAACTTAATTATAAATTGCATTATCTTATAAAAAATAAACGTAACTCAGTGTATACACTACCGATATGAGAAAAAATAATTAATTAGGTCTAACATTTCAATCAATATGTAGAGTTAACCAGTTTCTTAAGTACACCAATTTAAATGRTAGGTGAAAAACAAAATTAACTCCTATAAAATTGATTTAATTAGTGTAGTATTGGGTTTGATTCATTTTTATTCAGTGCATCTAATGGAATGCAAGACAGGATTGACCAATCATGTTGAATGTTGATTGGTATAACTTGTATAAGATTTTATAGTTAGCTGCTTATCAAAACATTATAAAGTCGATGAATAAGGTTGTATTATATATATATATATATATCGATGAATAAGGTTGTATTATATATATATATATATATCAATAAATCTGTTTTTCAAGGAGAAATATTACTTAGCTGAATACATTTTTTATGTAGCAATCAAAAAGCAGAAATTAAAACTAATAGATAAATTACAAAGTTGAACAAACAACAATTGTAACTTAACCTAAGAAAATTAAACTAATTATCATAATTATGGTTTACGAGTTCAGGGACCATGGGTATTTGGAATGTGGAAACTACAATGACCTTTTAGAGCATGAATA